GTTGAAATAACATTGCGCAAGCGATACATGTAATAGGTTGAAGAAATTCCATGACGTGTAGGACATGGTAACTCAGTTGCTTAGAGCAGCGCGCTACGCTGCGGTACGTGTGTCCCGCCCGTGTCGTAAATTTTGTTCAATCTGAAAAAAAAATAATTTATTTAATACCATCATACCAATACCATGTAAAAATGTTAAAGTTCTTAAACATTTTTTTTTCTTTATCTGTGCTCATCACACGCACATCAACAGGCTCGTTGGTGTAATGCAATGTAATAATAATTATCGAGTCTTGGTTCCCTACCAATGCCTACATTTTTCAAAGCAATTTATTATTTTTCTTAAACATGTTGGACTTCGTCTGGAAATCTGGATATTAAAAGAGTGGTAAAAATATTGAAATTTTGTCCGGATCACGAATCGCCGTCCACAGGTGAACAAAGCCGACATGTTGAATCGCGTTTCGGTTTCAGCCTGTGGATTTCCGAATATCCAAATCCAAAATAGGCCGGCAACGCCTCTTGTTGTGAAAAACCCCAGACATATAACAACTTGTTTGGGTAGTTATAAAAAATCATAGATGTAATGTCTACGTTGAGTAATAACTGCGACACCACTGAACTATGGAGACAGTCGGCAATAACAGACTATTTGTTAAATAATACAATACATTGTTTCGCTGCGTAAACTCGCTACAGAAGGCTTTACGATCGTAAAATATTATATTGACTTCGTTCACAATTGCTTTTGTTGCTAGTGTGACCACCTTTTCCAAGCTTTCGGGATAATTGGGGGCTTAAAAAAATAACTAAATTACTTCTTCATCAATATAAGACATCTATTATATAACCTATATTACTGTTAAATAACAGGTTCTATTGAACAAAATCTTGTCTTGTCTACACATAGGTTACACTTTAACTGTTTAAAACACGATATATACAAGTACTACCTGCTCCGCCAAAATTGTTTTGTTATTTGCAAGAAAAAAATATGTTGATACAATAATTCTAACAATGCATTAATGTGGATCAAATTTGATTACCATAAAACGGGTCTTTCGCTACTTAATCTTAAAAGATTGACATACTGTCGCGAATATTTGTTTTACATAATTTAAAGAAATAAAATTTTATTTTATATTTTTTTTGTTTATTAACCTTAATCGCAGCGCACGCAATGAGAGCCCTGAAATTTTAATAGGTCAATAATTATCCCGGGGTTTTCACATTTTCCACTGTTTCTTTGCTCCTATTGGTGGCAGCGTTGTTTATGTAGCCTAAAACCTTCTTCTATAAAAGGTCTATTTAATACAAAAATAATTTTCTCTTCGAACCAGTAGTTCTGGAGATTAGCACTTTTAAAGACTGTGTTGAAAGATCTCTTCTCAAATAAAAAAAAAGGAGTTTATGTTAAATTAATAAATCGAATGATCGATACGTGACTTTCACTAGATTGATTACGGTAGCATTGGCAAGAGCAACAGCACTCTACTGTCGCCGGTTCGAAGTCATCATTATTTTTGTTTACTTTTTTGTCCACTTCATGGTCACCCTACAAATTGGCCGCATGTAAACGCGGTAACAAAATATTTTCACAACATCAATACAAGTAACACTAAACTGATTGTTCGGTCGGCCTATGCGAGCGTCACGCGATTCTTGAGATAGGCCTGGGGTCCTGGCGGCGGCTGTTTATTACATTGTAAAATAGACCGGCCAACGGCTTGGGTGACCTCACTCCTGTCAACTTATAGCTATGTATTTTAAATAGAGAAGAAATGTCCAATATTCTTTCTCCTAAATAGTTAAAGGCTTTGCGTATTGCGTAATATATAGTACCATAATTGTTTTTATCAGTGAAACGGCCATAAAAATGTAAAGGGGGAAACGGAATTTCACATCTCAACAGTCATTTAAAAAAACCCATTAGAGCCATTTTTGGGTTAGGATATTCTATAATATTTTTTTTATATTATAAATATCAAAGCGTATTTAAGACTTTATTATTTTTTACATGTTACACATGAAGGCACTATATAATTTAAAAATCGAATATAAATTGACTCGGTAGCTCAATTGTTAGAGCAACAGTACAGAACGCTGACGATGCCGGTTCAAGTCCTGCCCGAGTCGAATTTTCAATTTATTTTCCTTTTTTACATTATAAAGCGTATTTATTTAACGCTGATTGTTAACCTGACCTTTACCAGTAATTCCTATCAGCGATAATACTAATCGCCATACAATTAACAGCTATAGATGATAAATGATTGATGAATTGATGATGAGATTCATTAGCAAATATGAAATAAACAGAAAAGTAATAACTCCACAAGAAAGGGCTAGGTTCCTCTGAATTCCTAGCATTGATCGATCAGCAAGAAAAGCGAAGTTTTCCATTATTGTGCTTCCATGATACCCAACCTGATTATGATTGATGCAGTGACAGCCCTATACGTCTAATGGGCTAGTGATGTGTTAATATCGATATCATAATTAATCGTTTTTTTGTGTTTCATTTATCAAAATTACGGGATAGGAAATTTTATTTATCATACAAATTTCAATGTCATGACAGTTAATTTTATTTTATTTAAAGATTTGCATGTGTATAACTACAGTCTAAATAAATACTTGACTTATTCTTTCGATATGTAAGTTGCAATTATTCTTAGAGAATGAATTATTATGAATTGTATCTATTCTTAATATAATACAGACAAACCTATAATAGATTCATCCAAATTCTAAAAAATATTGACTCTTCAATAAACGGCATAGTTTAACTTTAATTAGTATATAGTCATTCTAATCTAGTAAGTTACTAATTTTAAAGTTAATAATTTGAAATAATGTTTATTTAGATTGAAAAAACTTGATAACTTGAACCAGCATCCACAGCATTTCGTGCTGCTGCTCCAACCAACTGAGCTATGGTGTCTCGCCCTCGTCACCGAATTTCTTCAACCCATTGGTATAAGCACCTCTCGCCCATAATTTTAACATTAATAAATGTACAATTACGGTTTATAATTTATATGCAACGTTTGAGCTAATCAAATGTTATTATTTTCCAATAAGTCAAACTGATAGCGAAACGAGAATGCGAGAATATGCCAAATGCCACGGCTTAACAGTTCGAAAACCCAAGAAACAAAATGGCCGTAAAAGCATTATGAAATTCATAATTTATCGTTATCTCGCGCACATCACTAAAATCAAGCCAAAAAAGAAATTTAGCAATTCTGTAAATTGTACAATGACACCTCGGGATTTTCCACGGATTCTTCTATATGACATTTTCCTTTTACCATTTCTTAACACTGCTTACCTAAATTATTATGTGTACATACATATATATAAGCATCTAGAAATTAACAATGATTGACGTATATCTGTGTGTACAGTTTTTTAATCCGCACTTTAATCATAAAAATATGAAGTTTAATTCTAGATATACATTACAAAAAAATAGTTGTAATTTTCAAGTACATTTTTATTACAGTAGCACAGAATACATAATAACAGTTGCTATCGAATAACAATACCTCAATAAAACTGAGTTTCTTTCAAATATTTATTACGTGTAAAGTTTTGTATTTCGCAAATAATATTATTTAACGTAATAGAGGCCAAAAGTTTGTAGATTTTGAGTTATAATAATTACTGTGGTTGTGATAGGCGAACGCAGCGTTCATGAATTGTAAGGATAGGAAACATCCGGCCCGACGTTTCGGATGCTTTGCAGCAGCCGTAGTTACGGGACATAGACCGTAATTAAAATCATTTTCAAATAACTTTAACTAATATTTTCGCATTTGAAACCGTTAAAGTATTTTATTTAAATGTGTACCACTCGCGTAAAGTACAGACAGTATCAAACTGTTCTTTTCTCTCTGTGGAACCCATAGAGACACGGACTTACTTTTTCTAATTACTAGTTTTAATCCGGTACTCATATTTACCTGTGGGAATCATTTTTACTGGCGTTCATGTAACTGGCGTTTTTAGGGTTTAATTTTTTTTAATTCGAATGTAAAATTGAGAAAAACTTTGAATATGTATTTATTTCAGTAGGCTTAAGAAATCGTACTTTTTTCACTGTTATATGTACATTAATGTGTCTAGTTTGATTTAAATTATAATACTGTGCGTTACTAAGTATTTATTTCTTTGTTACCAAAAAAATATTGTTTTTTTTTAATTATATTTAAGTAAAACAGATATTTTAATTATAACAAGTAGTCACGTGACACAACATATATTTATTTTCTATCAATAAAACTAAATTATTTGTATTGTGGAAAAACGTGGTCTTTATTCAGAGCTATAAAACCACTTATTTTTTTTATTACCTTAGTTTCTCCTGTCAGATTTTTGCTTAGCAACATAACAAATTGTGAGAAATATACGCTATATAGTTTTACTGTCTATATTTCTCCTCAATTTACTTTAATAACAATTTAAATGTCTGTGATTACATTATTTCAGAAATATATAAATTTGTATTTTTACATTCTAAAAGGGCGGAAAATGAGAAAGTAACATTTCTCATTTTCCATGTTAATAACTGAAAATAGACTTATTTTGACGTTAATCTTATGCATGTTTTTAATACACACAATCGTTTCAATAAAACACTTTTAACGGTTTAAAACGAAATATATTAGTTTACTTATTTTTATTTACTTATATTATTTAACTGGTACCCGTAGCACGTAGCGTAGTTAAAGTAAATAAAAAAGGAACTAATATATTTCGCGTTTTATACAAGTTTTATATAAATGTGTGCTACTCGCATAAACTACAGACAATAAATACATTGTTATTGTTGTATACCTTATCTTATTATCTTAATTACTTTATTCAAAAGCTTTTTTTTATTGTCTGTTTGTACCCTAAAATAGGCAACTTTCTTTTCATCCAGTTAGTAGGGTTTTTCACTTTTTCGTTATATTTTTGCTGGCGATTCCTTCCTAGTTTTCTGTAGTCACTTGTCTATTCCCCCACAGCCCCCTCTTCCGCTAACTCCGGATGCATAGCTAGATACCTTCGCGCGTCTTCTGCTTTTCTTTCCAAGTTTTTCTTTTGTTTCACTCTTTTAAGACGAAACGTTTCTTCTCTCTCCTTCTCGTCCAACTCGGAATCAATGTATTTTGCAGTCATGTTTATCCGCGGGACTATTACTTTCCCTAGGACGTTGCTCTTTCTGAAAGGAAATTACAATTATATTAGTTACTAATGTGACATATCTGAAGAGATTTGTTTAAACGCGCTAAACTCAGGAACTACTGGTTTGAATTAAGAAGTATTTTTTTTTTGGATAGACAATTTCTCGAGAAAGGCTATAGGCCAAGGTAAAATAAAACACTTTAAAGGTTTAACGGGAGACTCTCCCCGTGACCACAGCTGCTGCAAAGCATCTGAAACTTCGGGCCGAAGTTAAAAATTATTTTCAAATAAGTTTAATTAATATATCGCTTTAAACCGTTAAAGTGTTTTATTTAAACATGCGTAAACTAGGACAGTATTTATATAACATCGTGCTGCAACCAATAGGAGCAAGGTAACAGAGGGAAATGTGGATAAAACTGGGAAAACATCTTTAAATGCAATCGTTGTGTGCGTTGCAAAAACGGTTCAAGATACCAAAAAATATGTATGTTTTTGGATCGAGATATTGACTATTAACACACAAGAAAGCTTTTAATATGTACCTATAGATAACTTGGTGTAATTGGTTACTAAACCGTACTATTTAAAATACGTAAATAAATACCCTCTAGAGGCGAATTGAGAAATGTTACCCGTTACCGAATTTATCCCCCTCACACACCCCGACGTGTCTTGTATTCAGAGTCCGTATCCAGAAACTTTTAGTCCAAATGTAATATTCATCTTCTACTAAAATAGCATTGTCTGCTAATTGACTATGTAACTGACACCCCTGTTATTTTACCGCCATAAAGTTTTGTCCGCTAGGGTTGTCAACCAAGTAACGTTATATTTTTAAACTGAATTACAAACCATTTTTTTTAAATCAGTTCAATCAGTCACAATACTTTCCACTTAGCTTTCCTAAGTCACTTCAGAGCGAGTTGGTGAGCTTTAGCTGCCACTCAATTTGTGATGTTGACGATGTTGATGATAGACACAAAGGTAATGATACCTTCCTAACTCTGTTTTGGTATTCTAATATTGTATTAAAGTAATATTTTAAAACAGTCTCTATACAAATCCTTAATCAAGATTTAAATGTAGGGCTTTGTGATTTGTAGTCAAATGCACTGAAGATTAGGCAGTTATCTTTTTTACATTTGTATTAGTGTTATTTCTTGAGTAGAATTTGAGTAGTTGTTTATAGTTTATTACTTGAAAGGTTATTTTTGTGTTAAAACAGTTGTGGACAAGCCCTAGCGATGGAAAAGTTTTTCCGATATTTTCGACCAAGTCTAGATGTAGGTAGTTCCGGTTTCGCTTAAAAGCATATTCGTAATGGTGTTTTAGAATGAATGTCATTTGATTTTGCGAGAGATCTATTTTATTATGACGTTTACTTCTCATTTCGTTTGCTTAGAATATTTATAAAAATATTATTTACGTTTACAGCAAGAGTATTATTGTCCATGTACCTTATTAACTTGTTTGCTTACAAATCCAGATTAAAAAAAGTGTTGATACATGCAGACATCGAACCCACAACCAACAACTATTGATTTGTCCTAATAAAAATAAAAAAATTAAAAATATATATTTATTTGATTTGGTTAATACATTTTAGACCATATGAATGTAATGATATATACGTTAAGATAATCTATATTTTCGTTTTTTATGGCAAGAAGATATAAGTATTTGCCAGTGTCATGTTTATTTTCTGTCTTCTGACATTATTATCTGAATCTCCACAGCCTATGCAAATCACAGATTAAAAATCTCTCCTCGATATATTTAGCACCGCCTTAATCTAGTCGGCCACGCCTTGCTCTTATTTATGTCCGCTAAATACAGAGTATTAACATAATGACTCAGAAGCAGTCTGGCAAACCTTGACCGAATTCTGCTGTCTAGATACAGGGGTTCAATGACCGCAGATGTGACCAACAATAGTAGACAATAAAATGTAACTATAATAAAACTTATCTATGTATTTACGTAGATAAATTCAATTAATTGATGTATATTAATTTTATATGACAACATGGCACGGCAGACGAAGATATATAATGCGCCACCCATATAACCATTAAACAAGAGGCATTGTCGTCCTATTTTGGCTTTGCACATTCGTAAATACAGTCTACAATCAAAACCCGAATAGATTTTAGGGCTTTATTTAAAGACGTTTATTCGTGACTCGTTTAATATCAGATTTACAAGACGCTTTCACAAAACGCAGGCTTTCAGAAAAACTATAAATTTATTTTAGAGATATGCTGAATCAAACCCACGAGTTGATGTTTGCTAGGAGTACATTGGTCTAACGAGTCAAAAAGATTATGTTTCACAATTAAACAAAATATATAATCTGGTAATCCTATTCACCCATGGGGCTTATGTTCTATTGGGAAAAAATAACTTATCAATATGAGAATTGCTATATTGATTTACAAATGTTAGAATATATAGTTCTGACAAAACTCAATTCTAAATCTAGAACTTTCATGTAACATTTAGTGGAATTCGATCGTTCATTTTCAATTAAAATCGTATTCGATACAAAATCGATACAGTATCGATATAATATTCATAATCGCATCGCCCAGATTGCAAAGTCAAAGAGAATCGTAAACTATCCGATCTCTTTACAATACACGTCACGGTTCCGATACGACGCAAAAGTTTTATTATCGATCGTGTCACCTATATATGTTTTAGATGAATTTATCTAGATATAGAAACATTTAAATACATAACACAAATAATACAATATGAAACAAGATCGTTAACGTAAAAGTCACGTACTTAACCAAAATTATAAACTGCAAGGAGTAAATATTTTCTCAAAAATTAAGCAAAGGTTTAGTTCCTCTTTTAAGGGTTAAAAACGTGAGACCAACAATCCAAAATTGATTAATATAATTTTTGATTGTTTTCAGCAGTTGTCTATAGTTTACGCGAGTAGTACACATTTAAATAAAACACTATAACGGTTTAAAACGCGATATATTAGTTAAAGTTATTTGGAAGCTGCTGCAAAGCATCCGAGACCTCGGGCTGAAGTTAAAAATCATTTTCAAATAAGTTTAACTAATATATCGCGTTTTAAACCGTTAAAGTATTTTATTTAAAAGCATATAACCATTTTGTCCAGAAATCTAGTATATTTTACGTATTTAATTAGTGCTTAGAAATCGCTAGGCATTTTTTATACGTTATATAACACAATAAAAAAAAGTTCCGTTATGTCTTTTGTCGTATGGTGTAATTGGTTTGTCGGGGCATGGCTGGTACTACATTCATTATGCACTGCTAGGACTCACTTTGTCATTAGCGGACATATTTTTAATTGCTACCATTTAATTTCATCGATACTACAAACTGACTTACATTGACCAACTAAAATTACATGATGCACAATATTTATAGTAGATAAAAAAGGAAGTACTAACTAAATGTGCTATAGAAGAAAAAGTACATATACTCATAATGTGTTTATTAGAACAATATATAATAGGTATATCATTTATATTTAATTTTAATTACAATTGAATTTTGTGTTGTGAATTCATTATTTGTACTACGACTGTGTTACATATACAAATCACCAGACTATTATGAGTACAATTGATATAATATAAAAACACTAGCATGTAAGAGAAAGGAAAAAGAAAACAGTGATTTTTTACACTATTTAATGGCTTGGTAACGAGACCTTTAAGCCAAGATAATGAAATTAAAAAGAGAAAAAAAAATTACCTTTTTCCTGTATAGAGTTCAGTATGACTTGACAATAAATCTTGGACATAGAAACTTACGACTAAACCAGTGTTCTGTTTCCCATGATAATTCATGTTTTACCTCCCTAATTAAACTTAATTTTATCAGATAATTGTGTTGCTTAATTATAAACTGTTTGCAACATTTAAATCTAAACATCGAACGTTAAATAAATAATCTTCACATCATTTAACGACGCCTGTCGATAATTTCTTGTAATTATGAGTAGCTATTAATTTTGTAAATGTGAAACAGAACACATGCTGCATCATTTTAATATACAATTTTCAGAACTCGCACATAAATAAACGTACTTTAAATAGAAGTTGCAAAATTAACACATATATTTATTAATATCATATTCTGCTTTTGTATAAAATAAAAGCCAGTATCATCGAAAACATTCTTATGGAAACTTAAACAACAATATTTTCTTTAAAATTCAAAGCATTGATGCATTTATAGTCTGTAATTGAGGGCTCGTTTGCAAATCGATATTTTTCTACGAAATCCAAGCGAATAGTTCTTTCAACGTGCCCTAAATATAGGTTATGCAAATAAGGACGCAGCCACAGCTCATAACTCAACATAATACGACCAATTATTACTAATCGATTCCCTACTCTGTGCAATTTTAAAAAGAACTGTCATCGAGCGCGCCAAATCATTACAAGATGGCCGCCCGGAGCAAATTGCCGCCATTTTGCCGTAAGTAACGAGCGTCCGATCAATTTGTTCAGAAATAATAAATTAGGATCAAATTACGTGAATGCCGTTTATTTTCAAATAATTGTCTCGCAATGAGGGCGCTTACTTTGTGACAATTTCGCAACAAATGTAGGAATCTCTTAACGAAATAATGGACTTGTATAAGGTAAAACCTAATATGATACCTTACGTACAGCTACTTACTTTAGTATGACGAATAAGACTGTGTTTTAAACAATACTTACATAGTTGGTGTAACTTTCTATTAATTTTCTCTAAGTATAAAAACCTGTGTACCTATTTACACGTTAAGACAACGTTCTTGAAAGTAGTAAGGTTATAAATACTAAAAGGTATCAAGAACATAGTGTTTAAAAATAACAAAGAAAAATGAAAAATACTTTTTGTATTTTCCAGTATAAAAATTTGCTTAAAATATTTTCCTTAACAAATACCGCGTCCAAAAATTAAAAAAAACGTATACAAATTTATTATAAACATGTTGGACAGCGTGGGGATCAAATCCTGGGTCGAATGGTAGCAATGTATGGCTAATAACATTGCTACCATTCGACCCACGAGACCGTCAAAGTACCTTAAAGGTACAGTATTAATAAATGTTCTGTATTTAATACCTTGACGCCTTCAAAACAGTTCTTAAACACCCCAATGTACACAAACAGTTCCATCAGCATTTCCGCTGAAGACATACAGTCTATAGCTACCTAACAGTGAGAAAATTTGAGTGTTAACATTCCGTCAACAAGTTGGTCAACTTTCGTGTTTAAAAAACATTTAATATCGGTTTTATCATATATGCGGCATCATAAATTAAAAAGATTATAAGTAAAATTTGTGTTTTTACACTTACTTTGTTTATACCATAATCTCAACATAATGTATCTCATACCATACATCTCAATATAGGTATATAGTACTTATCACGATAAATATAAAATTGGCGATATGTTGGTTATTACTTTTTCTCTTGGAATATATTTTAATATAGTTTTTTTGAGTATATATGAAATAAGCTATTTATTTTGATTATATTAGTATATAGGTCGCTCCGTCGGCTCTCCGTCGATCGTATTTAAAATTTTCATTACGAGTAGTACCCTCAATTAACCTAAAACTAATCAAACGAAAACAGTAAATACGTATTGTAAGTAAAATAGTTAACCGGATGTAAGGATTTATCTGTAAATTGCGCAACTGAACATTCCATAGAGTATAGTAGACCAGGCGACAGAAGGGACAAAAGCATAACTTGGGAATTCAATTTCCTGAACGACAGCAGACGGGTTGTGAACTTGTATTTCGTTACGAATTGTAAATAATATTCGGGTGTTGCCAGATTACACTATTCGTTTTCTTTTAAT